CACCCTCGGCGGAACGCTTTGCCTTGAAAACCCATCTGCATGGAAGACTGCGCCTACCGGGTGGCAAACTCATCAGAGTCCAGACGTTCAAAGAGTCCATGCTTCTCAGTTCTTCCTTCATAGATGACAGCCAGTCATCTTTATGAGGAGATCTGATAGCTTGCTCAAATGTCTGTGGCTCTTCAGGCAAATCACGATCATTACTGCTTTCCGTAACGGTGTTTACCTGGGCTGGCTTCTTCTTTTTCTTTCGCCTGCGCCTACTGGGAATTCTTATTGGATCTTCAATATATACTTCTGGTCTTGTTCGTCTAGGTCTATCATTTCTTAAGTTCTGCTCATTCATATCTCCACCTGCCTGTCTGCTTGTACTTGGTTGTTGATCATCATCAATGAACTGCTGCCCACCAATCTCTCCTCGCTGCGTCCTGTCCGATGTGGCGGACCGTAGCTGACTCGAGCTAGGCTCTTGACTCATCGCGCGCTGCGTCTCATTGGGAACTTTTTGCTGCTGCGTCGAATGGCCTGGCTGCCCTGAGTCGCGCTGTCCGACATCAGACGATCGCTGCGGTGGTTCCGTCGGTGGCTGCTGCTGTTCTGTAGATGGTAGATTTTCTGGTGTTTCTGGTTGATCTCCGTCGTCTTCCCCTGCCTCTTCTTCTTCTGGATTTGGTGCACTAGTATTTCGGTCTGTGAGGGAGTCCTCCTCTTTGCTGCTGCCGTTGTGTGAAGCTGAATTGGGCCCATTCGTTGTCGCTCCACCGTCTGAAGTGTCTTGTACCGATGAGTGCCGAGAGGGACTTTGTCTGAGGAAGCGAATATTGCTAGATACTCTGATCACATTTGTGCCTCGGAGCAGGACTCGATAACCAGGGACTCAATCATTCAATCCTGTGAGAATTGCCGCGATCCCTCTGTCCTGCATTTTCTTTCTGCTGGGATCCTGATCAAGATAGAAGCACTCTGTCCCAAATTGATGAACTTTGCCGAAGTATGGCTTTCGGCCATAGATGATCTCAAATGATGATTTGTTTTCCTGTTTGTTGAATGTGATGCTGTTGAGAATTTGGTTCGCAAAGTTGATGGCTTCTGACCACAGTCTTTTGCTCTGGTTGCTATCGATTATGATGGTCCTTGCTAGGTCCAGAAGTGATCGATTGGATCTCTCTGAAATTCCATTCTGTTGAGGGGTCCTTGCATTTGATGCTGATTGCTATGCTCCGATGCTCTTTAACATTTCCGCGACCTCCGCGTTCAGGAACTCAAGACCACGATCCGTGTGTAATCTGATGATGTTCCTACCCGTCTGATTCTTGAACCACGTTATGTAATCACGGATGCAGTTGATGGTTTCATCCTTCTGTTTCAAGAAGAACACTCGGCGAAATTTGGAGTATTCATCCGTGAGAACTAGAAAGTGATTGTGACCTTGAATCGACGGTGG